CCCTTTACGAGCCTCTCTGTGGCGCGTTGCCGGGCTAAAGTCAATCAAGAGTTGCCGTTGAGCCGCTTCGTTCTTTTTCTCTCACACACACGCAGCACAAAACACTCGGGAGCTCGTGGGGGAAATGGCAGCTCGCTCTCTAGTCGCTTCACTGACACCCTCAGAACCCAAACAGTTGAAGGTGTGGGGGCGTGAGAGAAAGCTGGGGGGGGGCCTGTTAGAGAGAGAAAGTGTAATAATAAAGAAAAACTAAGGCGGGCTTCCGCAGAAAGATGGGCGTTTGAGCCAATCGGAGGGAAATAATGTCTAGCTCGGATTGTAGGGTGGAGCAAATCAGAAGAGACGTGAGGAAAACCAAAAAAAAAAAGTGAGGGGTCGTCGTCTTTTTCACCATAGTGGAGTCCCGCCCCTGTTGAAGAGTGAGTGGAGCTTCTCCGGGGGAAGCATGCTTACTCTTTCTTGAGTTCTTGTAAATAAACCTAGGCTGTTCTTGATATTCTAGAAACGCAGCTATGGCTACTAGTTGTTTTTACTATTCTTTGTACTTCAGGGTTGAAACTTACATGAAGGAGAGAGCATGCTAAAAGCAACATAATGAAAAGGGCGGAAAGCACAATTTAAGCTCAGTTGTGGGACAATGGCCCCGGTGGCAGCTCAGTGGCAAACGTTTACTAGTACCTTGGAGGTACTAGTTTTTTAAGGCGCATTGTCGGTGGTAAGCCACGGGTGCGCTCCACTTCCCAGATGTTGGGGTGTGATCGCGCCCAGATAATCCACCCACCATCCATGCCTCCGCAACTTTGCCGTGTGACTGGGGCCCAAGAAAAGTGAATCACAGTGACGTGGAATTTATTGAGATTTTTATTCTTTGTACTATAAATCCAATTAAATCTAAATTAGGTACAGATAATCCCTTCAATCATGAAGATGTAGTCAGAGAACCAAAACTCATCTGACTCATTATAACTGTTTAGCAACCAACCCCTAATGATGATGTGGCTAAACAACAACTTGATAGTGGTCTGCCATTTTGGCAAGTATGCTACTAATCAAGACCAAGTAGGAGGCTATGCCACTCTGGTGCACACTAAAGTATAAACTCATATATCTTTGTCAAGTTTTGTCTCTAGTCTACTGACTTGGCAAGCAAGCATCAGCACAACTCTAGTAGAAGCAAGGTGGGACGCAGATCTAGCTAACCCATAAACCCTCCCATTTCCATTGAGAAACTCTCCTATTTGTGACAACTTGTCACACATTTGGCCAGTGCAGTGTAACTAGTCCAAGTTAACCGACCTTAGCTGCCCTGGGATATATTGTGAACACCCCTCAAAAAAAAAATCAGTGGAAATCTTCAGACTTGAATGGGTTGCTTGCAAAACAATGCAACCACCCTCATGCACAGCTGTAAAATATCAGCATGTCTCAGGAGTCATTCATATTTCATATGGAAGTTCTGAACAGCTGTGAGATAACTGAGTCCTTACATGTATTCACAAGGAATAAATAGGATGTGGCTTTGGCCCTACTATTGTTTTTTTTGTTTTTTTTAAGTACCCGAAGGTACACCTTTATTATTTTCTTATATACCTACACACAGACATAAACAACTACAACAAACAACATATAGGCCAAGAGACTTATTACAATTTGCTACTACCTCTACATCATCACTTCATTATTCTCCTACATTTGCTAATATTCTCTAATTCCATTATTATAAATTGCTACACACTCCAATGTTAATTTTGCCATATCAGCTTAGTCTTTAAGTCCATTCTCATTGTACCAATCATATAGCCTCTTCCATGTTTTTTGAAATGTCCATTTCTTTGTGGCTCTCATTTCCATGGTTAATTTGTCCATTTCCGCAGCTTCTAGTAGTTTATTAATATATTCTTCTTTAGTTGGTGTTTCTTGGGTCTTCCAATATTTGGCATACAATATCCTTGCTGCCCTACTATTGTTAATTGAAAGGGATTTGGGGGTGCAGTGGGGCAACCTCTACATTTAATACATCAAATGTGTTCTGGTAAAATGTTACTTGGATAGTTCACAGCAGACCGTGGAATATATTCCACTATTCTCACCTTGCTTCTCTCATGGAAGGCACCTGCTATGCTTTTAAATCAATTTTTTACTAGTACAGTAATTCAGAATAATATGCCTTTTATTACAATTATTAATGTATATAGTGCTTGCATAATAAACTGAGCATTTGAAAGTAGGCACTTCATAGAAACTAAAAAAGAAAAGTCTTGATCAGAAGTTTTACAATCGTAAGTATTGATGAAGCACAACAGTTCAGGGATCACAAAAAGAGATAAGGATTTTTGTTGTTGTTCAGTCGCACAGTCGAGTCCGACTCTTCGCGACCCCATGGACCAGATCACGCCAGGCCCTCCGGTCTTCCGCCATCCTCTGAAGTTTGCTCAACTTCATGTTCGTTGAATCTATGACACTGTCTAACCATCTCATCCTTTGCCGTCCCCGTCTTCTTTGACCTTCCATCTTTCCCAGCATCAGGGTCTTCTCCAGTGAGTGCTCCCTTCTCATTTGGTGGCCAAAGTATTTGAGCCAATCCCAAAGAAGGGCAATGCCAAGGAATGTTCAAACTATTGCACAATTGCACTCATATCACATGCTAGCAAGGTCATGCTCAAGATCCTACAAGCTAGGCTTCAACAGTACGTGGATAGAGAACTGCCAGAAGTACAAGCTGGGTTTCGAAGAGGTAGAGGAACTAGAGATCAAATTGCCAACATTGGCTGGATTATGGAGAAAGCAAGAGAGTACCAGAAAAACATGTACTTCTGCTTCATTGACTATGCTAAAGCCTTTGACTGTGTGGATCACAACAAACTATGGCAGGTCCTTAAAGAGATGGGAGTACCAGACCACCTCACATGTCTCTTGAGAAACCTGTATAAGGGTCAAGAAGCGACAGTTAGAACCAGATATGGAACAACTGATTGGTTTAGCATAGGAAAAGGAGTACGACAAGAATGTATATTGTCACCTTGCTTATTTAATATATATGCAGAGTACAACATGCGAAATGCTGGCCTGGATGAATCACAAGCGGAAATTAAGATTGCTGGGAAAAAGATCAACAACCTCAGATATGCAGACGATACGACTCTAATGGCAGAAAGTGAAGAGGACCTTAAGAGCCTCTTAGAGTGAAAGAGATAAGGATATGCAAGAGTAATGTGGCTTTGTATATTCTCATTTCTCTTCCTGCTCTCTCTACTCTCTTGTGTTTGATCAATACTTAAACCTCAAGCATACCAGACTTCTAGTGTGTGTGTGGGGGGGGGTTAAGTAAAATTTCCATTTGAATTTCCATTAAATAATAATAGATTATAAATATAGATGGTTGAAATAAATAATATATTTACTCTGAATTACAGTAATAGCAAATGATTTATGTTTTCAAACTCAAGAACTTTAATTTTTCTTTTGGAAAAATTATTTTCTCCAGATCTACAAAATCGTCTTTGAGAAAGGAGTGACCAAACTGCTTGTGATATTCCAAATGTTGGTGTGGCATACTTGCAGCTTTATTTTCAATCCCTTCCCTAGTACTTTTCTAGCTATTCCACCCACTGAATTTACTTTGTATTCATTTATACCCTGCCTTTCTCCCCAATAGGGACCTGAATCAGCATATATCATTTTATCATTACATCAACCCTTTGAGATTGGACAGGCTGAGACAATGTGACTGGTCCAAGGTCAGCCAGCAAACTTCCAGATTGTATCCTGACACTATAACCACCACACCCCGGGGGGGGGGGCTGTGCATCCCTTCCTCTGCCTATGCCATTACCTTTAAGCAGCAGACAGAGATGGTGCCTTCTGAGGAGCTTTCTTTCAGATAGGCACCATAACCTTACTTACAAGGTGGCTAGATTTGGCTGGCTTGCTGCAAAGCATAGAAAAACTAATAGCTCAAATAGTGGATTGTTGAGATTTCACACTTTTTACTAGACATTATAGTATTCTACTGTATTTTGAATGATTTTATCATGAGGCATTGCTCAAAATGTATTGTGAATGATTTTGTTATTGTTGTGTAGCCCCAATGCGGCATTTTATTGTCTGTGATTTGTGTTCTGGTCATAGAACATAAATGCTGAGTATTTCCTGAATTCCAGTATAATACCAATACTGGGATTCCGGAATATCGGCATTTACCAATATTTTTCGGGTTTCGTTTACCATGGGGTATTTTGGGGCCGAAACGCTTCAGAACAGCGTTCCGGCTGCGATCCGGCTTGGCCATGCTCCCTGCTCCCAGCAGCCCTCAGTAAGGCTGCTGGAGCCAAATGAAGCAAGGTGAGTTTCCCCGGCCTGCCCATTCAGGGTGCCTGGGGCCTTGCTGGTACGGGGGGGGGGCTTGATGTGAGGATGGGCCACAGGTTGTTGGTGGCAGGGCCTTGATGGGGAGGCTTTCAAACCAGCTCCCTGCACTTAAAGGGACACCCTTTAAGTGCAGGGAGCTGGGAGGCCTCACACGCCCAATCTCCGCTCAGGG